CTGTCTGGGTTTTCCAGGCGCTTTCCATAGCACAGTACTTCTGTACTATGGCCGCCAAGTCAGCAAAGTGTACTATGTCACAGCGACTTATGGCGTTGAGGATTCCCTTGTCCGTGCAATTTTTGCAAAAGAATGAGACTGTGTCTTCCTCACGACAGTCCTTAACCCTGCTCATTACAAGGAGGAATCTGGCCCAGAAGTGATGTACTGTCTCTTGGGGCTCTTGTCTAATGTGGGAAAGATCGCTTGTATCTGGGTGGGTGGGTAGATTTAAGTCCAAACCCTGACCCGATCTAAGACCCATGGGTAGAGGAGCTTCCGAGCTTGGCAGTTCGGGCTCTGGGACGTTGCCCAAATTTTCCGGCCTGCTGTCCGATCCTAGGTTTGGAGTTTGGGCCATGTCCTCCCATAGACGGGTATCCGGCTCGGAGAGCTCGGGAATCCGGACATAGTTCGTCCTCAAAATAGAGGAGGAATCGACACATTGTTCCTCCACTCCCGCTATCTGATGGGTGACCAGCTGATAATTAATCTTCCTTTGGTCGGGTTTAAGCCCGATCCGATCAGAGTCTATAGCGACTCCCAGAGCGGCGATGCGATCCAAGATCTCGTTCAGGGAGGAGAGCTCCATTGGATCCATCTGTTAGGTAAGTTCCGAGCTGATGTGGAGGCTGTTTTTGATGACCTGAGAAGTCATAGTCGGCGTGACGGCCGATTGGGCGGTCATGATGAAGCCGCCTAGTCGGAGAGTTTGGCCTAAAGCCAGGGCTCCCCCAGAGGTGATGTTGTCCTTGATAACAAGGCGAGCCATCAAGCCTTACCGTGACGACACAGTGGAACTCTCAATGAAAGCACCAATGTCGGTGTCAAAACCGGCGGATCTCGGGTAGGGGGTCCCGAACTATGCGTCTAAGGCTAATGGTAACAAGAGGTAGGGGACACAATGTTTACCCAGGTTCGGGCCCTCTCGATGGAGGTAATACCCTACTTCCTGCTTGATTGATCTTGATGATATGAGTATTACAAGAGTTGATCTACCACGAGATCGAAGAGGCTAAACCCTAGAAGCCAGCCTATGGTATGATTGTTGTTGTCATATGGACTAAACCCTCCGGTTTATATAAACACCGGAGGGGGCTAGAGTTACACAGAGTCGGTTACAGAGAAGGAGATCTACATATCCGGATTGCCAAGCTTGCCTTCCACGCAAAGGAGAGTCCCACCCGGACATGGGACGAAGTCTTCAATCTTGTATCTTCATAGCCCAACAGTCCGGCCAAAGTATATAGTCCGGCTGTCCGAGTACCCCCTAATCCAGGACTCCCTCACCTGGATATCGTCATGATTATTTAAAGTTCTATCAATTGCCCAACGGTAATTATTTTCCCACCGTTTGCTATTTTTCTCGAGAGAAGGCACTAGTGAAACCTACGACCCCCGAGTCTCTTTTTATCATATTTGCCTTTGCGGTCTATTTTCTCTTGCATTTATTTTCAGATCTATTAAACCAAAAATACAAAAATATCTTGCTGCAATTTATTTGTTCCGTGATCTATTTATCCTATCTACCACTTTTACCTCATGTTATTTGCCTATCTTGAGGCGCCGTACCCGGAAGGGATTGACAACCCCTTTAACACGTCCGGTTGCGAGTATTTGTTATTTGTGTGCAGGTGCTGTTTACGTGGTGTGAGGAGGTTCTCCTACTATTTCGATAATCTTGGTCCCATCACTGAGGGAAATACCTACCGTCGCTATACTGCATCATCCCTTCCTCTTTGGGGAAATACCGACGTAGTTCTAGCAGACATCAGTCATCCTCCCCTTCTTGAATTGAAGTCGTCCTCGATGGAAGCTCATATTCCTCAGCCAAATAAGGCTTCAAATCTGCAATGTTAAAAGTGAGACTAACCCCAAAATATGCAGGCGGCTCAAGTTTATATGTATTATCATTTATTTTCTCTAACACCTTAAAAGGACCATCAACACATGGCATTAGCTTTGACGTGCGCAAATCAGGAAACCTATCCTTATGCAAATGTAACCAAACAAGATCTCTAGGCGCAAAGACAACATGTTTTTATACCTTTATCTCCAACAAGTTTATATTTAGCATTCATACGCTCAATGTTTTCCTTAGTTAACTGCTACTTCTTGAGCTTGCGTTGGTTTTCCCTTGAAGAGAAAAGGATGATGCAGCAAAGTAGAGTAAGTATTTCCCTTAGTTTGAGAACCAAGGTATCAATCCAGTAGGAGTTTGAAAATTCAAGCGGCGCATGTGCTAGCTAGATTTAGTTATTGTAATAAAGGTTCTTCTAGTTGGACAGACGAGCCTCCAGATTGTCTGGTGAGCAAGCTCGTTGATGATGCATCTCTATTGAATAATCAATAAAGCTAGCCATGATGGCCTTCCCTAAAAAGGACCCCTAAAAATGTACTCTTCACTTCATTTGATAAAGCTTGAAATTATGATGCGATGCATATGCAAGCAAGATATGAATATAGTCAGGACGGGCAACATGGGCAAAAGCTGTGCAAAAATCCAAACCTTCAACTTGGGTGAAGCCTTGTACCACTAACCTTGCATTGTTTGTAATTATGTTGTTCATGCTCGTCTTGCTTGTTCTTGAGTACCCATTTGGTCCCTATGACATTATAATGTCCTCACTTGGGCCTCACCACAAGAGACCAAAAAATGATGTAGGTATAGTTGCTGAGTTCTTCATGTGTATCATCTAACTAATCCGGATCTTCTAAAGCTTCCTCTACCTTGAGGGGTTTAATACAAGAGTCAAACGAGTGATGTTCACTAAAGTTTGCCAAACATTGCTTCCAAGGATGTTGTCGGTGAGGAGATCTAGAGTTTTCAACTTGGATGCCACTTTGTGTTGGTTCAAAGCAAGTGCTTTTTCACTGTTGTGAACGTTGTGGCGTTGCTTGAGCTTGATCTTGAGAATGAGGGCCTCAATATATGGTGCATCATCACTTTGTTTGAGCTTGCCATTGATCTTACTCGAGATCATGAGGGGCTTGTTCTTGTGCTTGGATCAGTTCTTTCTTCTCTCGAACGCCGCTCGAGAAAAATGACTTGGATCAATGAGTTTTTTGTACGTCGGCTACGGGGCGAAGCGATCACCCTACAATGCTAACACCGACCAAGCCAAACCAGATGCTCAAAATCTCACCATACCAATGGGTCCCACCACAAAAACAATTGGCAGTAATTGATTCTCAGTTCTCCAATCCTAGAAAGCTTAGTGAAGTTAAAGGATTACATGGACAACTAAGTAGGCCATTCATGTGGTATATCACCGTTTGATCATAGATTTGTCTAAAGAGTTTGTTGGACTATTGATGCTCACTAACTAAATGTCTGTGTTGCAACGAGGAAATACATATTCTAATGAGTTAATATTTTTAATGAGTTAATATGATTATTATGTGCTAAAAATTGGACTTTAAGTGGGGATTGAAGCAACACTTATAACAAAGAAAAATATCTTTTAATAGTATTACAAGTGTGATAAACTTAATCACAGATTTAGTCACATTCCTCATCGCACACGGCATTCCTTTCGCCGTTTCCGCCCCTCGCCGGCGCCCTCGTCCCCTCCTACTCTCGCCCCCTCTCTTCCTCGATCGGCTCGTCCGGCAACTGCCCCCACTGACCGACGCGCCCCGCCGCTACTGCGCTTCCTGCTGCCTCTACAGTTCTGCGCCCCCTACCCCCCACCAACCCCATCGTCTCTTCGCCGCGTCTCCGCCGCCTCCCCGCGTCTGTCTGCCCCTCTGCCTCTGTGGTCACATCCTCCCACCGCCGCAGTGACCGGGGGATCTGCCCGAACCATCTTCGCCGCAAAAGCTCGCCGGAGGAGCGGCCCCAGAATTGGGCGTCGCCGGATATGGCCATGGCATCACCTTGGCAAGCTGGGAGACGCATAAACATCGAGGGGATGGCGCGTCCGGTGGCTGTGGACCACCGCATCAGCCTCCCCTACTACTTCCGCATCGCCGACAATCTTCTCCGCCAGGTCAAACCCTAACCCGAGATTTAGAGTCTCTGCTTCGCGATCCCGTATTTTGGTGCTGATACTTCTGCATGTAACCGGCAGTTCCGGGTTCAGGGACGCTGAATCCATTTGTATTTGCTACGCAATCAGCGTACATACTGTCAATTAGCTCGCGGGCGTGTAACATTTGGGTCGTTTTATGTGGTGCACAGGCGAACATATATCGAGAGGAAAAGAACCTCATCGACCTGTACATTATCCTCCTGAGATACTCGAGGTGGGTTGTGCCCCTGTGTTGGTATATCTTAGCATTAGCTTGTTACAATATCTTAAGCTTGTGTTGATGGTATGCTGACCTCTGTTTACTGGCAGCCTGTTGTCTGAGACGATCCCGAAGCATCGTGATTACCATGCATTCAAGTCAAGAGAGAAGGAATTCCTGAAGAAAGGGCCGCATAACTCAGATGTATTACCGCTCTAAGCTTAATGATTATTTCTCCTACTGCTTCAGCATTTATTAGATTGCTTAATGAGTAACATAGAAGTGTAGTGTCAGAGTTTGCCCTTTTGAACTTGGAACGGAAATATGTCAAATACTTATGCTGACTAGCTCAAATTTATTGTAGAAACTCTTGAATGTTATCAGTGAGCTCGAGTCTCTGAAGCCGATTGTGAAACAGCAAATTGCTGAGCTTAATAGAAGGGCTGCAGAAGAACGTAATGGTCCACATGAAACCTATGCTGGAAATGGTGCAAGCAGTAGGACAGATCAGCTTGCTGCAAGTCCGTATATGGTGCAGGTATGCCCTTTATTTCCCATCTTGAAGTTTTTATGCCGCCTTTTTTAACAAAGGGTTATATAATGCATATTTCTTGGCATCTTTCTTATACTATTGTTTCATTTCTTTTTCCATGGGATTTACTTTTTTCTCATGCAGCCAGCATTTGGAAGCTCAACAGGACCATTGCAGAAACCATCCTCTAGGTGGAACCATCAAGAGGAACCTGATAGGCATCTAGTCAAATCGTACGTTTATCATTCGATCCTATTAATGTCCATGTTATACCAAGACCAATCTTATTTCGGAAATGGCCACAGGGTGTCGAGCCCTGTATGTGACCGATTCCGGGATCGGTGATTTGGAATTGGTCTTGGTATTTATTGAAAATAAAATTTTGTTTGACTGCGTTTTGGTTAACATCTATCCTCCTTCTGAAACTGTTCTCTTTAATGAAACAAAAAATCAACGCAATTGTTTTTTACATAGCTAATGAAAATCATGTTCTAATTTCTATTCATCTGTAACTCATCTAATCTTTTTGGTTATTTGATCCAACTTGCAATAGATGAGCCTCTGCTTCTTTTTACTGCTATAAGCACATGAACTGTCATATACAACTGTTTACATACTGTATAGTCGTTGGTTAATGCTTTGGTTTAATGATTAGGGAGAAAATAATTTGCTTCCTCTCTGTAACTTATGCAGATATGCCAGTTTGCCATATCCAAAAGATGAAACACTATCCAGACATTCAATACTAGGACCGAATGGGCTTCATGGCCAATGGACAAGGCCTGTTAGTGGTGTCAAGGTATAATTATTATGTTCTCAATTTGCTTTATATGTTTTATTTAATGGCATGAAATTGATTTATGAGTTTTATAACTGCTTGTTTTACAGGTCCAGTATCCAAGTTACCCCGAACTGAACCAAAGCAATATCCCTAGGTGAGAACTCGTAAAGGTTTTAGCTTATTCTCCATTTCTTTGTATAGATGCCAGCCCATACAGCTAATGTAGGTATAACTGTTTCTGATTATATGCCCCTTTTGTTCCATTGCTTCTGCAGTTTAGTTCCAGCAATCTTGAACCAAAATGACTCACATGATCCTCATACAACATCACTGGATGGATTGACAAATAACAATGGTGATATGCAGTCTGTTCTCTCACTTGATGATGGTCAATGGTCTTTACCAGTAAAAGAGCCAGCCTCTGTGTCTCCTGCTAGTTTCGAGGAAGAATTCTCCCAGCTGAATATAAGACAGCCTAACCCCCCACCAGTCCTGGCACAAGTACATCCTGAGCGTAGACCGATTTCTCCATCAAGAGTAGCTGATCCAAGACCAGGACTTGCTACCTCTGACACAGGACGTTTTCAAAATTTGCATGTGGTAAATAAACTAAATTCAAATTGCAGGTTCTTTACTTTGTCATGGTATTGTTCCAGATCCGTTGTATTCTTAAGCATGATTATTTTATCCATATTTCATCTGTAGCAAATATGTAGACCTGTACCTCTTGACCGTTATATTGTTTTACCTTGACAGCCGGTGGCATTAATGGAGTCTTTTCTGAGACTTGCTGAGGCAAATACTGCAAAAAATCTGGAAACATGTGGGATTCTTGCTGGTAACCTGGTATATACCTCCCCACAAAGAAAATAGAAGGAATATTATATTTGTTCACATCACTAACATTTCTATATGCTTCTGTAGAAAAAGAGAACTTTTTATGTGACGACACTGATAATTCCTAAGCAGGAATCAACGTCTGATTCAGTAAGTTGTTTTTCCTTCTGTATTTTATTTCTTTCATCAGATGTTAACCCTCAAGTCAACCAAGTCCTTTCTCTAAGCAATTTATCAGGTTGATGAGCCTTTTGTAATTCTTGCTGCTCTTATACCTTCTTCATATAATATATTCTGTATCCATAGTTCACAGGGACCGGTGATTGCTTAGCAAAACATTTGAACAATTTGGACTGATGCTCATGATTGTAAACTCTAAACTGTACATGTTACAGAGCACCCTAACAAGTTTATATACATTATCAGAAGAAAATGTGACTAGCGAAGGAGTTTCCTTATATTAAAATAAAATGGAATATAACTTTGATTTAGATGCTCTTTATGATTTACTGTCATATGGCTTGGAGTCTGAGCCTCTGAGGGCAGTGAGAACTGGAGGTTTCATGTCCACGCTTGAGTTTTAGTAAATTGATTTGATTAGTGGCTAGTGGCTAATGCTGCACCCGACATAAGCTCATGCAAGGAGCCTATGGTTTTCTCTTCTTACTCCAAGTTTACATATTAAAGTGCAGTACCCCAAATTTAGCACTTTAAGAAATAACTTGTTTTCCTTTTCCAGTGTCAAGCTACGAATGAAGAGGAAATATTTGAAGTTCAGGACAAAGGCTCACTTTTCACCCTCGGTTGGATTCATGTAAGTTCAGCTTAAGAATTGTTGTTGTTGACTGATCAAGCTATATTCAGAGTTTTGAGTGTCATGTTCATTTGTCCTGTATTTTAATTATTGTACCTAAAGGAAATGTTAACTATAATTTGTCCTCCTGTTCTAGTTTCTACCAATGATGTGTCTATTTAAGACATTGATCTAGAATGGCTAACTGTGGCTACTCAGACTATTAAAGACAGCAAGACACACTGAACTAGCATGACTGTCGCTACTCTGCTTAAGTACTGTGAAAAGGGTCCATATTGTGACTATATATATTTTGAAAGCCTATTCATAGTTGAATTTTACTCCCTCTGTAAACAAATGTAAGACATTTTAGGTCATTAAAGTAGTGACCTAAAACGTCATACATTTGTTTACAGAGGGAGTATTTGTTTGTTGATGCCTATTAGTGCCCATGTTCCCATCTGTGGGAAGTCCATTGTGCACTGTTCAAAAGCACCCAAGAAATTGCATGGATGTAGTACACATGGAGCACACCTACCAAATTCAAAAGTATCAATCCTATGCTTAAAGAATCTGTGTCCTATCAAATATATTTGAGCGGATGGGGTTATCTATTGGGAACTTGTTGAGGCTAAGGTTATTGTTAACTCATTCTGTACTCTAAATTGCTACAGTTTAATACTCACTGTGGGAGTTTCGTGATGCTCAGTTGTGCCGAAAGCACCATTTGGTGTCTCTGTATCCTAACCTGTGATATATTGACAATTAAACTCTTTTTTTCACAATTTTATGTTCCTTTTCAGACACATCCGACACAGACCTGCTTTCTGTCTTCCATTGATCTTCATAATCATTATTCGTATCAGGTAATCCCCATGTGCCATACTTCTGTTGTAGTAATTGTTGTTTGTATTGTGCTTTGCACTCACTGATGCCATGTCCAGCAACTAGTTGATCTGAGCCAAAAAAGGTTTCTCAATATATGGCTGTTGTTCAGTAGTGGCCCAAAGTCTCGGAATTTAAATGCACTATAGCAATGAAACTGGGTTGTAATTTCTCGTTCAATAGAAAATATTGTTGTGTTTCTTATGTGATTTTGCTTGACACAAATATCTTGAAACTGGGTTCGTTGGGACGTTACATCCCTGAGATTGAGAGTGTGTCACAGCCTAACAGGTGACTGCTGGCGGCTCACTTTGAGAGAATTCTTGTAATTTTTTTAACTCTTATTCATTATTTACTCACCTAAAGTAGAAGGGTTAGTGCTGAAGATAGAATTTCAGCTAACTGTGACGTCTCTGTTACTGACTTTATCTCTAATTCCTTAAGTTCTAACTCTATGGGCAAGGATTTCTATGCTTCGGCACAACTTCCCTGGCACCGGGTTATGATTGCAGCATTGGTAATGAAGTTGTATACAGTAGTCATGGCATTTTCTTGTATGTTTCTGGTCCAGTATGAAATGTTGTTGCTGAGCCAAAAATGATGGAATTCTTTATTGTTTCTGAAATCCTTAAAACTATAGTAGTAACTAAACACGTGCAATGAACGTTTTGGAGGGGTGCATCAGCATGCTATTCAGGAGGCAGTGGTGGGTGATTCGTAATTTACAGCAAGCCTAGGGGTATTAGTTGTGTTGTGCTGTGCTGAAGATGGAATCAATATGGACCTTTAGATGTGGATAGCCGAGCGGTTAGGATGTTTTGGATCAGCCACAGCTGGTGCTTTTTATGTTAGTGGGGATGTTGTGAGGATCTACATACATACATCTTGCAGTCAAAAGCAGACTGTGCCAATATCATTTGTCAACTGCTTGCTTCTTATGAGTATATTTCATAAACTACTCCAGCAAATTCATTAGTATTCTTAACTTGATCCTGTGTTTGGCATTGTTGGCTCAACAGGTCATGCTTCCTGAAGCAATTGCAATTGTCATGGCACCTACCGATACAACAAGGTATATGTTACGTTGGACTCGCATGCAGTTTTTTGGGCAAATTAGTGCTGATTTCGTGGTTTGGATTTCCATTGCTGTATATTACTATCCTTCATTTCAGTATTTCTTAGCCATAGATTAACTAAATGCTACTCCCTCGGTCCCATAATATAAGAATGTTTTTGACACTAGTGTAGTGTCAAAAACGTTCTTATATTATGGGACAGAGGGAGTATAATTTCCTTGATAGCTGGAGGAGAGAGTAGTTCCTAATTAAGACCATGAATCTGCAAATGATTATGTAGACATGCACATGCTTTACGTTCCTCCCCTGCGGTTATTCCTCGGCCCTCAGTTTCAGTGAATCCGTTGAATCTAAAATAACAAGTACTCTCTCCGTCTGGAAATACTTGTCGAAGAAATGGAAAAATGGATGTATCTAGAAATAAAATACTTCTAGAAACATCCATTTCTGGGACAAAGCAATGTTGCTTAATTCTTTTCGAAACAAATCCTCAGAAAATACGCATACTGTTGTTCATTGTCTTGGATAAATCATTTACGATAGGTGCTGTCTGTTCATCCGATTAGACTATCTCATGATAATTGTCTATATTTTCTCTGAGCAGGAAGCACGGCATATTTCACCTCACGGATCCAGGTGGCATGGGGGTGATCCACGATTGCCAGGAGACTGGTTTCCATCCTCACGAGGAGCCTCTTGATGGCACTTCAATCTACGAGCATTGCTCTCATGTGTACATGAACCCCAGTGTGAAGTTTGATATGGTCGACCTCCGTCGCGTGTGAGCCTGATTCTGATAAAATTAGGCGTTTATACATGGTAGATAAGAAACTTGTACCTTGCTGCGGAACATAACAATGTACAGTACATATTTTAATGATTGCTTTATGAGCTCACGCGGTCACGCCTCAAACGCCCTCCCTATTTGCCTCTTTGGTAACCACTATGCAGAGCGAAAGTGCTGTTCTAAGCCCGAGCTCATGTGAGCTATGAGCTCGGTGAACAGAATCAATGTTTTCATAGCTTGCACAATTTCGTCATGAAATGATATTCGTGAAAAATGTGGCCAATAAAAAAAACCGATGCTCCGAAATGCGTTTGAAAATAACAATTTTGGAGCATAGATTTTTATTTGCCACGATTTCCACGGGTGTCATATGGTGAAGAAATTTTGCAAGCTAACAAACATTTTGTCAATGTTTCACACACAAAAAAAGAAATTTTGTTTTTTATTTTATTTTACTGTTCGTCCGAGCTCACATGAGCTCAGGGTTAGAACAGCCGCTTCCCTATGCAGAGTGACTTCTCATGCCATTTTTTTGCGGGGAACAAGGAGATATGCATAACTGATCTAAACTGTAAAACATCAAAAGGGGCACAAACAAATGCATGTTTAAACTACAGCTAACAAATGTGCACGTGGTTCTTTACATTGCTCTTTTGCCATAGGTTCCTTTGCACTTAGATGATTTGCCGCTGTTTTCATTGCACTTGATATTTTGCCACTAATTTCCTAGATAGCTGTAGTTTGGTTTGGTCATTAGGATATCAACCCCTGTCGGGGGATGAACCTCGGGCAGGCAATGGAACCCGGATCCTTTTCAAAAACAACGGGGCCAGCATCTCCCCTTAAGCCGGCCCGCGCTTGGCCGGGTCGCTCGACCCGGCCAGGCCTCTCAAACCGGCCGAACTCTTCAACCCGGTTAGACTCCTCGACTCGGCCTCGACGGCCAGTACAAGACGGCCGAACCCGGCACATCAAGACTTCCCCGACAAGCAAGCTTTGCTCGTGGCGCGTTCCTCAACCCGGCCACGGGTCAGCTCCCGTCCCATCCAGGCCGTACGATGGGACGAGTCTTCATCCACCAGATGACCAAGGCAACAGTGCCCTGTCCATGCCTCTGGTCAGCCAAAGCGTAGCAACAGTGCCCCTCACCTAACCGCTGACCAGGGCCGGCGTGGCAACAGTGCCCCCATCATCACCACTGACGCCAGCAAACGCGACATGACGGAACGCCACTGCACCCGACTCGATTCGACCATTCCCTGACGAACGACAAGACGGCGCACAGTACCCCTAGGCACGCGGGGGCCGCACCTGGGGGAACCCGGGGAACCATAAGCACCCGACGGGTCCCAGCCCGGGTCCTCAGACGCTGACGACCCGGCCTACGGCTTTGTAACATTACCATTGTACCCCTGGGGGTTGGCCTACAAAACCTCCCAGGAACCCTCTCGCATACGGGCAAGCAAGATAGAAGGAGTAGTAAGCACACATGAACTAGCCACCGATCAGTAGAACACACCTCGGTAGAAGGAGCCGCCTAAGCCCTGGTCGGCCTCCTTCTTTCTCGATACAGCTCCAGGAGCAACCTGTACTACATATCAACCACACTCGGCAGGATTAAGGGTATTATCTCTCCAGAGAGCCCCAAACCTGGGTATGTCTTGCGTCCCGCGCTCGCTCATACCAACCTCGCCTCTAGAGCCCACCAGCGCCCTCGAGCCTCCTCCTCTCTTTAGCCATCCCATGGCGTCTGCCGTGCGCCCACCATGACAGTTGGCGCCCACCGAGGGGCAGCTCGAGGAGCTGGCCGAGAGCATGCTTCAGACGGGGCTCCCCTCCAACTCCGACGAGCCCTTCATGCTGGCGGACGACGTCGTCGACGCACTCGCCGCCTCCTTCGCTGCGCTGCGCATCTCCGATGCGCCCGCGGCCGATGAGTACCCCAGCGAGGTACTCAGCTACTCCGACTCTTCCCTCTCCCTCGGCGGCGGCATTCTCGTCGGGGCAATGGACGTCCACGTGGAGGTTTTCGTCACCGGCACCGACGCCTCTTCCACGTCGAGCACGACAAGGAAGGCTGTCGAGGCAAAGGCCGCAGCGGAGCGGGCGGCCTTGTCCAACCCGTTGCGCGCCGCGATGCAGAGCCTCCGCATCCCCATCAACACCGACGTCGACGCCTCCAACGTCGCCGAGGCCCGAGCCCAGCTCGAGGAAAGGCGCCAGCAGATGCTGGACCTGACCGAGACGCTCGCCGCCACGCAGCGACGTCTGGACTCCACTCAGTTGGAGCGCAACGCCGCCTACGGCTTCACGCCTGCCGCGGCCGAGCCGAGCTGGGTCGCCGACGTGCGAGCCCTGGGCGGAGCGATCGGCCGCACCCTCGGCGCCATCCCGACCGTCTACGAGACCCCAGCGAAGAACATGCGCGCTGCCCAGGCGACCGTGGTCGGCCTGGATCAGCTCACAAGCGAGGAGCTGAAGGAGCACATCAAGCGGATGCACGATCTCCTCAACGTGGCCAACACGCAGCAAGACCGTCTCAACCAGCTCGCCCAGTCGGCCGGCTCCGGCTTCGCCCGCGCTGCCAGACCCAACGATCGTCAGCATACGGCGTCTTCGCCGCCCGGCAAGGCGCACTCCGGCCGCACCCGGACCCAACAACCGCCGGCGGCTTAGGCGACGAGCCGACTCTGGGAACCCGACGCGGACCCGGCCAGCCCGGCCGGGGTCCGGCTCCAACCGAACCGCCCCCCCATGGCCCGTTCGCCAGCTGACTCGGCGCGCGCGCCATTGACGACACCGACGCTCGCCATCGCCTCGACCGGCTCGCCTTCTCTCTCGAGGTGGAGGAGAGCGGCGCCGTAGGGCCGACGTGCTTCGGCCCGCGCATTCTGGAGGAGCCCTTTCCGAAAGGGTTCATGCTCCCCCGCGACACCCCCAAGTACAACGGAACCGTGAAGCCGGAGGACTGGCTCACCGACTACACCACCACCATCGGCATCACCGGCGGCAACCACCGACTCGCCATGTGCTATGCACCGCTCATGCTCCAAGGGTCGGCCCGCACCTGGTTGAACAGTCTGCCGGTGGGCAGCGTCAACACGTGGTTCGACTTTGAGCAGGCCTTCATCCGCAACTTCACGGGAACCTACAAGCGACCCGGCCGCCCCAGCCAGCTCGCCATGTGCGTGCAAGGGCCGACGGAGACCGGCCGTGAGTACCTCGCACGCTGGACCGAGCTCCGGAAAAGATGCGAGGGCGTCCACGAGGTTCAAGTTATCCAGTACTTCGTCAATGGGTGCCGAGACGGCACCCTCCTAAAGCACAAGCTCTTGCGCTCCGAGCCGGCCACCATGGCCGCGCTCATGGTGACGGCGGACAAGTACGCCAACACCGACTCCGCCATTAAGATCCAGGTGGCGCCGGACGAAGCCGGCAAAGCAAAGCCGGTTCCCCCTCCGAAGCCGGCCGACGAAAGCAGCCGGCAGTAGCACCAACAGAACCACAATCGCAAGGCCGACCAACCAGCCCAGCACTACGACAACCGGCCCGGCGCTACGACAACCGGCTCATCGCGGCCTCCGAGCCCGCGGCGGACCCGGCAGCCAAACACCGGCAGACCGGCAAGACGACATGGCAGCCCGCCATGAGCTTCGAAGAGATGCTTGACGCCCCATGCAAGGACCACAGCGGCGCGAGGCCGTCCACGCACACGCTCCGGCAATGTGGCATCACAAAGCGGATCATGCGAGGCGACGTCATGCCCCCTCCGCCTCCGGCTCCGGGCGCGGGTCAGCCGCCTCCGCCTCCACCGCCACCTCCAGCCGGAGGCGCAATGCATGACGATGCCTACCCAGACCAGAACGCAGCCTATGTCGTCTTCACCAGCATCGGCAACGACAAGCGCAGCGAACGTCTCCACCGCCAGGAGGTGAACACCGTCGTCCCGGCCAAGCCGGAGTACATGCACTGGTCGGACCGCCCGGTCACCTGGTCCCAAGAGGACCACCGGGTCGTCATGCCGGATCCGGGTGGCTACGCCCTCGTCCTCAACCCCACCATTGTCGCACGGCGCACGTGCAAGTTCTCCCGAGTCCTCATCGACGGCGGCAGCAGCATCAACATTCTCTACCGTGACACCATGACCAAGCTTGGCCTCGAGGCCAAGGACCTGGAGCTGACCCGGACGATCTTACACGGCATCGTTCCCGACCTCTTCTGCTCTCCCATTGGCCGGGTACGGCTCAACATCCTGTTCGGCAACAACAATCACTTCCTGCACAAACCAATCTGGTTCGAGGTGGTGGACCTGTCCAGCGCGTACCACGCGTTGCTGGGCCGACCCGCGCTTGCCAAATTCATGGTGGTCCCCCACTACGCGTACCTGAAGATGAAGATGTCGGGTCCGAAGGGCCTCATCACCGTCACCGGCGACTACTGCAAGTCCCTGGAGTGCGCCCGAGACGGCGCCAAGCTGGCCGAGTCGCTGGTCATAGCCGAGGAGCGGCGCCAGCTCGACCGGATTGTCGCCCTGGCCGGTGAGGCGTCAGCCGTGCCGATCCCCACCGAGGAGCCGGCTGACGAGGCCGCCTTCAAGCCCTCCAAGGAGACCAAGAGAGTGAAGCTAAACCCGGAAGACCCCAGTTGCAGCAAGTATGTTGTCATAGGCGTCCGCCTCGACAGTAAATAGCAAGGCGAGCTTGTCGACTTCCTCCATGAGAATCGGGATATCTTCGCATGGACCCCCAAGGACATGCCGGGTATCCCGAGGAAGTACGCCGAGCACAAACTTCACGTCCGCAAGGACGCCAAGCCTGTCCATCAACCTCTGCGACGTTTCTCTGAAGAGAAGAGAAGAACCATCGCTGAGGAGGTCGCCAAGCTTTTGGCGGCCGGCTTCATCATGGAAGTGTTCCACCCCGAGTGGTTGGCCAACCCAGTCCTCGTCCTGAAGAAAAACAAGACCTGGCGCATGTGTATCGACTACACCAGCCTGAA